TCTCTCTCTCTCTCTCTCTCTCTCTCTCTCTCTCTCTCTCTCTCTCTCTCTCTCTCTCTCTCGGAGCAGTCTCTTGCAAGCACTTATATGGCTTTAGCTACCACCAAGTGTATATCTTCAGTCCGATTTCTCCTCCAGAGCTTCAGGACCACATCCAGGCGCCTTCTGGACAGCGTGACTTGGGTGCCCCTAAGACACTTGAAACTCAACACTCTAAAGCCGAACTCCTCTTTCTCCTTCCACCTCCCAGCCCCTTAGCCGGTGGCCTCATCGGCATGAATGGCACCCCCACCCTTGGCCACTCAAGCCAAAAACTGGGGAGCCACCTCAGTTTCCTGCTCCTCCTTCCCACCCTTATCATTCATTTTCCAAGACCCACCCATTCTACTTTTTAAAGAGTTCTCCAGTGTGATGACCATCATCAATCTGTTCCTTAGCATGACCAGCCGTCAGTCTTGCCCCCTCTTAATCTCCCTTCCACCCCCCTCAGTGACCTATCTGAAATGTAAATCTGAACATGACCCCCTGGGTAAAACCCTTCAACGCTCTCCTGTGCCTGGGGCCGGGCACACATGACCTCACTCTTCAGCCCCATCTCCTGCTACTACTCCCTTCAAGCTTCACACTCTGGTAAAACTGTTACCAGGCCCCACCCTACCCCCAGATCATGTTTCCTTACTTTGCTTATGTTATCCTTCTGCCTACCTTCAAGCCCAACTGCTCCGCATCAGCTCAAGTATCATCTCCTCCAAGAAGCCGTCCCTAAGCCCTCTCCTCTAATCCCAGCTCGGGCTAAGTACCTCTGAGCCCCCAGAGTACCCTGGAGCCACCTCTGTCACAGAGCCAAGACACTGTTTTGTAACGAGCTGCTATGAGCTTGGTGAAGGCAGTACCTATGTTATTCATCTTTGATTCCATGGCAACAGATACCACGCTTGCTGTATGAAAGGCACACCTGCTTTGCTAATTTAGGCCCAGGGCAGGACAGGGTTGCATCCAAGGCCACCCTTGAAGGATCCCGGTCCAGGGCAAACCATATTCCAGCCATCTGAGTGACTTAACTTAGGAGTGTCCAGCAAAGGCTTTCCAGGAAAAAGAGCTACTAAAAGTGGGAGTCGGCCAAGTGAAGGAGCAGGCTCAGTGACCCAGGAAGGAAATAAGGCTGGCTGTGGGCTGACCACACATGAGGAAGTCTTGGTCTCGTGTCCACCTGGGGAGCCATTAGCTTTTTCACTTTGACCCCACTGCCCCGGATGGGTCAAGGGAGGCAGCAGCTCTGAACCGCCCTACTCTGGGATGCTCATAGGCTCTACCTCTCTCTTACCTGATAAACATGCCGATGGCATAGGCCACGAGGAAGGCATTGTCCACGGCCCCCAGTAACTCCTTGTAGTTGTCCTGGTCTGAAAGCAGATGGGAGAGAGAGAAAGCTGGCTACTTGGCCGCCCCTGCAAGAAGGTCTTTCTGGTCCTGGACAGCCCCTCCCTGGGGAGGGGAATGGGGAGAGGGGAAGCAACTTGTCCCATTCTTACCAAACGGAGCCCAGCTACACCACGTGGTGTCATTGGGATTGTGGGTGTCGTTGAGGGGCCTGATTAACTCTGAGCAGTTCTGATGCAGACGGCTCTGGACAGGCAATGGGGTCAACAGGTCAGAGGTCATCCCGTGGTCCCAGAGCCCACTCAGCCCAGAGCGGAGCAAGCAACCTCCCTCCCCAGCCACACCAGCACCACTGCCGCCCCACTGGACTCCATGCTCCTTCCTCCGACACCTCCTCCTACAGGAACAGGCCATAGGGACAGATGGCCACAGCAGGTCCTGAGCAAAGGGCAGCAGGAGTCTATGAGCAGAACCCACAGAGCCCAGGGTCCCTGCTGTCTCAAGCCACCCAGAGCCACCAGCAATGCTACCTTGGTGAATAAACTCAAAAGGAGCACCTAGAGAAAGTTCCCTGGGAAAAAGAGCCACTAAAAGTGGGAGCCAGCCCCGCGAAGGAGCAGGCTCGGCGATCATGGTAAGGGAACAAGGGTGGTAACGGGCCGAGTTCCTGACCATTTTACTGAAGTGGACTTGTGCTGGGGCCCAGCATCTCCTGCATGCTTTCTTAGTGCCAGGCCCGCCTCACCTTGACAATACTGATGGGCTTCCTGGACATGTGATAACAGGTATAAATTAAGAAGGTAAGCAGCAAGATGAAGCCTCGGTACCTGCAAGAAAAGGTAGGCATCTGGATTAGCAGGAAGATCGGACCCTGTGCCCTGTAGTCCACCTGTGCCCATTCTGCCAGCCCCAGGGCCTCAGCACCACCAACCTTCTACATTCAGGCTCACCTCCAGACACAAGTTCCTTGGGGCAGAGGCCAAGGGGAGGGTAGGAACAGATGCCCCGGAGGACAGGGTGCTCAGGGATCCCTATCTTCCCGGTCCCAACAGAGGCCTTCCAACAGAGCTGGCTCAGCACCAGCACTCCAGACAACACAGACGTCCTCCTTCTGCTCTTGTCACCTCCCATCACCTCTATGTTCATTTGGCCTCACTAAGATCAGGGTACCCGTGTGTGTGTGTGTGTGTGTGTGCGTGTGTAAGAAGAGATGAGGGCAGGGAGGAGGTAACATCGTTTTTGGTTTTGTTTGGTTTGGTTTTTTGGTGCTGAAACTCAACATCGTTTTTAAAATACCAGCAATGGTGGGAACAGGTAGGAGGCTGATGTGGGAGAAGGGTCTGTCTATATAGCAAGCTCAGTACTCTCTTAAGCTTAGAACACAGCAGAAATAGCACCTGCTGCAGCCTAGTTAGAGCAGAGTCCAGGCCGTAGTTGGAAATGTGGCACCGATGGGAAAGCCGCTGGCAGAACTCATGTCCTCTTCCTAGCCCCAGTCTCGTCCATCCTACTGGACAGCAGGGTCATTCTTTCCACCCGCGGCTGACATATCACATGTGCCCCCTCCTACCCCCCATTTCTCATCTCATGCACTGGTCTGGGATGGAAAGAACGATTCAGCCTAGCACCAGTCAAGTTTCCATGAACACCCAGCACTCCCCTTCTCCTGAGGGTCTGGGGAAGGGCCTCAATGGCCCTCTGAGTCACTGTCTGCTTCCCCAGCAGAACATCAGCTGAGCTGAGTCAGCAACTGGGAGCCAGGAAGTGCATGGAAAATGGGCCTCAAAATGGACCCCTGGCCCAGGAGAAAGGGCCAGGTATTTGGAAGGCCCCAGAGCCCTGGTTCATTAAAGACCTCATAGAAAAAGACGGGGAAGGGGCAGGCCGAGTGGCTCGTTGGTTGGGAGTTGGCTTGGGAGTGCGAGCTCTGAGCAGCGGGGACGCTGGTTCGGATCGGATCCCACACTGTGCCACTCTGCTGGTGGACGGCAGCTCGACCTGGAGCTGGGCTGCCGTGAGTGGCCGGCAACAGCATGAGCTGCCGTGAGCTGCTGAGAGTGGCCGTCCAATGGCTAGCAGGCAACTGCCTCAGCCCAGAAGAGCGCAATGATGGTGCCAACACGGGCCAGTGAAGTGACATCCTCCACAGCTGGACTGAGGAACAAAGGGAGAGCAACTTGTCTGTTCCCCTTCCCCCAATTCCCCAGTGCTGTTCCCCTCCCCCAGTTCCCCCAATAGAATCTTAAAAAAGAAAAAAGAAAAAGATGGGGAAGAAGGAAGGAGGGACCTGAAAGCCCCCTGCATCCCTCAGCTCCATGAACCTAAGGGCAGGACAATGCAGGCTCACTGCCCTCTGGGCATCTGCCTCCAAAACCCAAACTCACTTCCTCCAACCGTATCATGAAGGCTACCTACCACCTTCATTGTGAAATGAAGGGGAATTTCAGCAGAGCCTGAATTTAGGCTGGGCTACCAGGCCCTTCTCACTGCACCCCTGGACTTGAGCTTCCTGCCTGGGCTCTGTGTCTCCATTCTCTCCACTGCCCCTGGTTCATCTCCTTAAGAGAATGAAGGTTCATGTGCGCCGCTCCATTACCTGGCTTAAAAGTTTTCAGTGGCTCTCTGTTCTGTTAAAGACAAAGCTCCAACCATTTAGTCTAGATATCACACTCCTCTACGACCCAGCCCCTCTGGTTACTGGTTCCCGAGGGTGCATGGGTGAATCACAGAGCAGGGAAATACTGGAATTTGGAGTGGGTGCCCATCTGGCTTTCAAAGATCAATGGATGGAAGAAAACCATAGCCCTACAGGTAATTCCAACCCAGTGCCCTGCCTGAGAGGCTGCCTGGTCCAAGAAAAAGCTAAAAGCTTTGAGTCATGCCTCTAGTTTACTGAGTAACTGAATGCATGTCCCTAAACCATTTTTGCCCCCGTTTTCCTCATCAGTTGCACACACAGTACCAACCACATCAATCTCAAAGATTGGTGAACACAATATTATTCTCACCTTAGTCCTTAGGTCCCTATTGTGCCATCTTCAAGACCCCTGGGGCTCATCGAAGCCTATCTGGGCTGCCACATGGATGCAGTCACTGACCATGGTGACAAATCAGATCTCCTCTGGGTCTGAAAGGTCCCTGAGGCCCTGCTGAGGCCCCTGGCTCTGGGCGTTCTCCTATGCCAGGGCCGGCAGGGAGGCTCTTCCCAGCTATGGAGGGCTGGTGTTGCCCGGGAAGCCAGGCTGCAACTCAGTAGACACGCTGAGCCCTCTCAGGAGCTGGGCAGAGCCAGTGAAGTGCCCAAAGGTCTAGCCCGGCTGCCAGCCACCCTGTCCTCCCACCCCCACACTGATTCAACTCTAAGCACCAGGACGTGCCCACCTAGGAAGAACCCAGACCACCCTCCCTTGGCTTCCTCCTGCCTGTGGCCTGGTCCTCTTCCTTCTCTGCTCCATGCCCGTTTCATGTGGATTCCTCTCCCAGCCCTGGGAGGAGGAAGTGTGCCAGAGCAGCAGACACAATAATAATGCCTCCTTCGGACACTCTGATTCTCTAGGGCAGAAACAAGACTGCTCTCCCATCCACATCCACAAACGTGCCCGCCACATGCCAGGCCCCACGCTAGGGATTCAGCCGCAAGGAAGAGAAACCATAACAGAGATCTCTGCCCTCTGGGGGCTCCCAGGGCAGTGAGGAGACAGCCAGGGTTGGGGCCACAGTGCTGTAAAAGAGGGCACGTGGGAGCACAAAGGAGGGGCGCTGAGCCCAGCTGGGATGAGTGTAGTGTCAGGAAAGGACTCTTAGAGGTGAGGCTTTAGCTAAATCTTCAGAATCAAGCAGGAGATGTCCAGGTCAGCCAGGGTTGGGGCCGGGAGCGTGTCCAGGGACAGGGAACTGTGTGTGCAGGAACGGAGAGCATGAAATAAGCTACCTGTTTAGGGAACTCCACATAGTTCAGGATATCTGGAAGGTGGGACTGAGCCAAGTATAGGGAAGGGGGCAGGGGACAGGTCATGTGGGGCCTTGGGTGCCAAGTTGTGGAGTTTGGACTGTCTCTAAGGTGACAAGGATGGGAAGTCATTAAAGGGGGCTGGGATTTTCTAGAGCAGAGAGGTTTGGACATCACCCACGTGAGGCAGGCTGAGGCCAGAGCTCTGCCCTGCTGACTATTTTGGGAAGTCCCGGAGAGGTGTCCTCACTGAGGGCAGGGCCAGCCCCCCTGCCTTCTGCATCCTACAAACCCCTTCCCGGGCACATGGCAACACCACTGGGGACCCTCGGTGGCGCATTTCAGGGAGTTCATGTCCATGGAACAAAAGAGCAAGGACTTAGGAATCAGTCAAAACCTGGCTTCACCCCTTACACTTTACACAGTTCACCACCTTTCTCATCGGGCTCTTGACGAGTTTGTGAGCTGATACAGATAACAGGTCTTCTAAGTTTCTGACACCCAGTGAGCATGAGAAAATGGCAGCTACTCTTATTTCAAATTTTCAGATGAGGAAGAAGAGCTGGAGAGGGCTGAGGCAGTCCGCCATGCTCTTTTATGGGAAGTGAGTGGGGGTGGGTGCTGGCACCACACTTCTCCGGGTGGTGGGGGCTATAGACCCTGGACTCACTAGAAGGTGGGGTTTGGAGACCAGCACGCCCCCCTCCTCCCCACTTCCCCAGCTGAATTATTAGTGTCCTCACCCTGCCTGGGGCAGCTTCCAGTGTCTACGGGGGAGCCTGCAATGGGACAGAGGAGAGGTCTCCGGCCTGCTGGGGCCTCTGCCCACACGCTCCCTTGGGAGAAGACAGGGCGGCTCAGCAGAGGTCCACACTGACATCCTGACGGGTGGAACTCCAGCCCTGTCCTCCTCCAGGGGCCTGGCCTGACCTCTCTCCTAGCTCTGGCCCCAGCCCCCAGTAGAAAATCTGACAACCAAGATAGCAGGAGTGTCATGATTACTGGGGGGCACAGGAGGTCCTCTGCTGTGCTATGTGACCTTGGGTCTAGTGCTGGGATCCCCTGGGACTTCCTGCCTGGACTCAGAGTGATGGAGAGCTGGGCTCAGAGTCACACAGCTAGTGGGCAGAGCACTCTTGTATACAGTCCTCCCCCCATTCCCCTTTGGCAGCTATTCTGAGAAAAAAGGCCAAGGTACCACAGTTGAAAGGGGACTGGGGACATCCGTCAGGTTAAGGGCTGGGCTAAGCTGAGGCCAAGGCTGCCAAACTCACAGTAACTCGCAGGAAAAACAGCTGACACCCTCCGGCAGCGCGTAGAACCGCAGGTTTCACTTCTCTTCTTACGAGCCCTTCCAGCAGAGTCAAGAGGCCCCAGAAGAGGAGCAGGGGGCAGATATACACAGCTGGCCTTTGCCTAGTTACCCTGGGGTGGCTGGGAGAGGCAGGGATGGCAACCCAGGTGCTAGGCCAGGCTGGCGCGAAAGCCAAGGACCAAAGAACATGAACGGCGAGGTGCTCAGACTGTTCCAGGTGGGGCTGGTTGCCCGAGACCCCCAAGTCTTTGTTAGCAAGAAGCAGCACTTCTTAGAGCCCCAGCTCCCTTACTCGGCACTGGTTACTGAGTAACCAAGTCAGATAGAGGAGTACAGTAGCTATCTCTTAACTATTAGCTGATAGTCCAACTTATTCTTTCAATAATGAATAAGGTTCATGGCTTATTGATAATGGCTTAATCAACCTTTGAGACTTTGCACGAGGAATGCTTCTGAGGTAGGGACCAAGAACAATTTGTCCCAAAGCGGCAACAGATAAAAAACAAACAAACAAAGGACCTACTACCATCCATAGGACCTACTACCACCACCAGTACAACAGA